ATGCAGAGGGATCATTCCAGTGGGGTAGAGTTGCCACAGGGGCTCCTTCACAGTTGTGTCTCATTACTTCCAGCATTGGCAGCCTGACTTAGGATCTCTAAAGACCCAAAGATCCCTTGCTGTCATAAAATCTCTTAGAGGTGTTGCAAGTGGTCTTCAGGCTGCCTTAACTTGCACTAAGGGGCACTATGATGAACAATGGCCACAAGGAGTAGGGAATATAAAGGACACTTATGAAACATCCTCCTCAGCCTTCCCTGCACTGCCTAATTTCTTGGATGTAATACTGAATAATAAAAAATAGAGCAGAGCAAAGCATGGCTTCTAAATATGATGAATAATCAAACTATGTAAGCACATGAGACTTTGGGAAAATTACCAAGTTAAAACTTCTGTGTATATCTAAAGGCGTGCATGTTTTTCTTTCTAAAGCCTGGTGAGGGAAGTCAGGAGCTACAGAGACTATAAGCATGATTACAAGCTTGTTGGTGCATGTTAGGCTGTGATGTGTCAGCCTTTATGCATCTTCATATAGTGAGGGCTTTCCACATGTAATGAGCCGTACTTGAATGACTTGGAACAACTGAATTCCATTATTATTATCAGGAAGAGTCCAAGGCATTTAATGAATGTACAATCATTCTCGTTACCTGCAGCAATGGAACAGGGTCTTAGTGCTTCAGCGTGGAGAAACATAATGCAGAGTAAGTTCCTCTTTTCTTTGCTAGCTCTTCTGGAAACAGTGGTTTTATATATTTCTAAATTGGTACTGAATAATAGTTTTTATCCTTTTATTTTCCTGAAGATTATCATCTCATAGTGATTAGGATGAAAAACACCCAAGTTCTAGTATTTCATAAAGTTACATTGCAGTATTTTTTTGATGTTTTGCTGAACACATGGCTCTACCTTTTTGTCCTTTCATAAAAACGATTTCCTTAACTGCACCTGATTATGAAATGTTTTCACTGAGGTTATTTTCTTTCTTTGAATTTGTTATTATATAGAACGTGTAGCCTGATAATTCTAAAGCATAGAGGCTAGTGATATCTTACAATCAATTACTTTCTTGTTTGCCATATTTCTAATGACTCTTAATAAGCAGCTGCACTCCAGAAAGTGAACAACTATACATGTGCCAGTTCTCAGGGTACATACCAACTTACTTCATATCCACAGACTGGAAAGCTAGCTCAGAAAATGATATAAAGCAGTTATATTGCATATCAGTATTGCAAAATAATGTAAGAATTTAGGTTTTTATATCTTTATCAATTAATAGTAATAAAAGTCAACAGCAACTAGGCACATAAGTGCCATGTGTGCCTTTGAAAACTATAACATAATAATATTTAAGTCCTGTGACAGTTCACAACCACAACAATAATGATTCTGTGAAGATTCAATATTTGATTCCTGAGTAATGATAGTTTCAATAAGCAGCAAATGTAATTCAAGGGGGAGGGGGGGGGAACAATTAACCTTTTTGCATAATACTCAGTATGTTATGGGAAGCCAACTTGCAGTTATTTTCTTTCAAAGGTGCCTAAGTTTGAAATAAGTATTTTTGCAAGTGAGCAGGAAATAACCACACAGTGGTGCCAAAGCCCTAGGAGCAGGATAAGTGGCTACATTTAATTTAGTCAGATGCAGTTTTCTGCTTACCTGTATTTAAAACTCTTTGTTTGTTTGTTTTTGAGTGGGGTTAGTTCACAGGATTTATTTTAATGATGATTATTTCAGAAATGATTAGGTAATAAAAGATGTGCTCCCCACCCCCAAATAAATGTTGGTGAACATTGTAAAAGACACACTTAGCTGTTGCTTCTTTACTGATCCACCATCATGTTGGGATGTGTTCTTTGTCCATCCTTTATTATTTCTATCATTGTTAGCATACAGTTTTTCTCTGCGTCCAGTCATCATTGTTGGTTTTGTATAGTATAAGAAGTCCAGGGGCCAAGAGGACCTGATGGATGGAGGAATGATCACCCTGGAATACCAGGCAGATGTAGACCCAGCAATTTCACTAGGGGAAGGGTTGGAGTAGGTTCCTAAGTCCAGAACTAAACATGACATGATGGACAAAGGTTTCCTTAGCACAGCACTCCCTAACATCACAGGTATGTTTGAGGAAGGAGTAGGCCAAGTATCCCCAACAGGTGCCAAGTGATGAGGACCTACATGGTCTGGGAGAAATGGATGCCTCATTTGGTCCCATGTGACTTATGGTACATGGTCTAGAAGGATTGGATGACCCATATGATCTGGGAAGACTAGGATGCCCATAACCAGGGACCAAGAGAACTGAAAGGTCATGGTAGAAAAAAGACCACTATAGCCTGGAAGGACTAGGATGTCCTGAAGGGACTGAAGCAATAGATATCTTGCCCAAGCCTTTGAAGGAAACCTGTGTAATACCTTTAAAAGACAGACCTTGGAGTAAAAATTCATAACTTTACTGAATATTGAAAACCATGGACTTGATACAGACAGTGGTTTTATGGCTCATTACAATTTATCTTCCACATGTGTAGGTGGACTGCACAGCTCAAAGGGAAAATGAGCTAGGCAGAGAAAATGGTGTTTAAGTCTTCCTAGTTTATAAAGGATAATATATAAATGAATAAGTTGAACTCCAGCCTTTGAAAATCCTTTCTGACCTCCAAGAAATTGTGTAGCCTATTGGGATCAACAGACTGCACCAAATAGATTTGGTTTGCTAGCATATACCACTTTAGCCTTATAAAATGTAGGATATGAGCATGTTTTCAAACATTTGTAGACTTGAAATCAGTGTGAAGAATGGGTTTGTAAGGGAAGCTTTTACACTGAGATGAAAACAGGTATACCTTTGTATGTACCAGTAAATCTCTAATCCTTTCAAGCAATAACCCTGGCCCCTGTTTTTTACAGATCCTTTAATTTTTCTGAGCACATTACTACTGGTATTTCAGGAGTGATGCTCCAGATCTAGTTGGGTTTTTACAGAAAGAACACTTTCTGTCTGGTTCCGATGTCTGTTTTAATTCAAGTTACCTTAAGGCTAAAATACTAGTTTATTTCAGTACTAAACTTATATGCCATGAGGCGACAGGACTAGAAGCAATGGCCTCAGGCTGCAGCAGAGGTAATTTAGGTTGGAGTTCAGGAGAAAGTTTCTATGTGCATGGTCAAGCATTAGAACAGGCTACCTAGAGAAGTTGTGCAATCTCCAACCCTGGAAATCTTCAAAAGCAACGATGGAAAAATAATAGCACAATTCTTCTGTTGCAAAGAACTCAGAAAGGTCATAACAAGTCAAAATGTTTTTAACACTATCGATTCATATCTTTATATTATGAATCATTCTTTACCTTGTGAATCACATTAGCCCTGTTAAGTGGGAAAACATTGTATGGCACTCTGTGGCACGCTTCAGAGTATCTCATGTTGCCCCAGGGTGCTTTGGCACCCTGGTTGAAAAACACTGGAATAGAACTACCCTGCAAGAGACAGACAGCTGCATTAAACTTACAGAAACCAAGACTGTTATTTATTGTTAATAGAAATTACATATAGTAAGAATGAAAAATATTACATACTACATTGTATGATTATTTCCCACAAATGTAACATCAATGTTTAAATTCATTCTAGGTCTCTGCTGGGGGGGAAGGATAGTATGTTTCTTCATATATTATGGCAATAATATATTAATAGAAAATCAAAAGCTAAAGCTATCATTCCTTTTGAGTGAACGATGTGAGGTTTCTCTCTCAGAAGCATGTAACCCAAGAACCAATCAGGTGTAATATGCTGACTGCTATATGTGTAGATCATTGTTCTCTCCTGGCTAGATGGAATCTGAAGTGTGCCATTAGTTACAGCTAAGAGTCTCCCTTAGTTCAGGTAGTGCCTAGGATTGTGGTTCTGGGGAAGGATGGTGCAAGTTTGATCCCTGCTGACAGGGGTGCTGTCCTGAGGGCTCTGAATCTGTTACACTGGCCATTTTGGACAGAAATGATTCAACCCCACTTATTGATCAGACACCATGTTTGAGCTAGCAACTCTTTTCTCTCTCTAACAAAAGTCAGGGAGACAGACTGCAACCTTTGGATTCACTTTTTAGGCTATACCATGTGAACAATCACAGGAGCACAGGATCAAGGTGTCAGGGACATCTGTCTACTCTTGACCTTCTGATAGAATAAGAATGGAATTGCAATGGTATAAATTTGCTTCTGCATTTTGTAAGTCTTCTCCTAAACAAAATATGTAGGGGCATTTTAACTGTCACAATAATGGAACTGGAACTCCCTGTGGATAAAGTATATTCCCACAAGCCCAAAAAATATCAGTAATTTTTTTCATTAACTTTTTCATTCAACTAGATTTGCCTACAGGCAAAGCAAAAGCAAACTCTTTAGTCATCCTTTGCACTTTCCAGTATAATCTGAGATCCAGGTGCTTACACATGTTTTACACACGTGATCACAAAAGTACACTCATAAATGGCTTGCTAGACGTGACAATAGCTCTAATCTTATATAATCCTATCTGGTCCCATGAATAATAATGCTTGCATGTTGGCTAATACTAGGGTTTGACATTACGACTTAGCATCTGAAATTATCCAGTGTGGCCTCTCTAGCTTCATGTCCACACCATATGATCTTGCACCCACCTTTGGGTTTGTATATTTAGTATACAGTTGTCAGGTTAAAACTATAGCCTTAAAAAGCTCCTCTTCATCTTTCTCAATGCCTGCTTTTTTCTCTGTCTCTCCAGTTTCTACCTCTTCCTGATCCAATTATCTCTTTTCCCATAAAATGTCTTGTTGTACTTACTTTCTTAACTGCTTTATACAGGGAATAACTAAATATGTCTCACTCCTATGCATACAACATAGAAATGTCAGCAGAGAAACACTGCTATTGCCATTGCTAAAGTATGATTTACCATGGAATGATAGACACCCAGTGGATTCATACACTCATACCACCCTTGTACCCAAGACCTTGATAGGTAAAATACCTTACGCTCACACTGGAATTAAGCTCACCATATCCACCACCTGAAAAAGAGGCCCACATATCAGCCTAAATCTGCTTCTCCTCTACTGACTTCCCATATTCATAGCAATCAAATATGGTTTCTCCATAGAAGTTACTTTTTCTTATCCATGTGAATAGGCATTGAGCCAGAGTTCCCCTGAATCCTTCAGGGAGCTGCAGAAAGGAAATAGTGGGAGCTTGATTAGTCAAAAGTGATAACAGAACATAAATCAGAGGAAAATTATTAGACAGAAGGCCCTTTTCCATGAGTCCTTCTTTCCACTCTTCAGCTCTGGCAGGATAAGGGTTCATGGGCTAAGAACATTATTCTTCCTCCAAAGTGGTGCTTGCATCATAGTGCCCAAAGAAGACATGGCAGAAGTGAGTGCCCTTTCACTTCAGAATCAGAGGGGCAGAAGCAAATGAAGGAATAACAGTTCACTATTCCCTAAAAATACTCCCCCCTCCCCATCCCAAAATAAATATGGAATATAAGGCAATAAAAATTAATCTCCCAACGTTTTGCACTGTGGGCAGAAATTCTGGCAAACAGAAGAAACGACATGTCTTAGTCTTGGAATTTCTGAGCACCTAGGTCCCCTAGGTTTACTTCTGAGTTGGACCATTTGTGGTGGAATTATGTTTCCCTTTGTATGCCTAAATCAGTTTTTGAGCTGTACAACTGACCATTTCTGGCTTTCCTTCTGCACTACAGATGTGTAAGCATGTGGAGACTGAGCATGTACAGTAGGTTCTACGCTGATGGGGCACATATTCAATTACATACCGGCATACATTAGTGCTTCCCAAACTTTTCCTCAGCCTGACTCCATTTATGACCCCAATTCCTTAGCATGACCCCATTTCCTTAGCATGACCCCTCACTCCCAACCCTCACCCCCCCCCCCCCCCCCCCAGTGCTCCCAGGTGCCCATCATTCCCCACCCACATCCACCACCCCTGTTGGTGCCCATCACTCATAACACGCAGCCCCCTGGTCCTCCCCACATCTCTGCCTGCAGGGGCCCCCAGCTGCCAGTTCTATGGGACCAGGGGCTGGGCCTGCAGCCCCCGTAAACCTTAAGTCTGGAAAAAGGCACAAGGGAAGCTCTCCCATGTTTTAGCCCAGTAGCTAAGTAGTTAGGACATGCAAACCAGGAGACTCAGGTTTCCATCTGTCTGGGATGAAAATGCAGGTCTCCCACTTGGTGGGTGAGCGCTCTAACCACTACCACTAGATTACTATACAAAATCTGGGCACCGCTGCCACTACTCCATTATATGCTGAACTCAATACTATTGAATGGGTTAGACAAGTTCAGAGCACTTTGGATCCCGCCAGGGACCTGGATAGACTAGAGAAGCCACCCCAGCTCATTCTGGGTCACTTAAGAGCTTAGGTGGGAGTTGGGTACCTAGGTCTCAGACTCAGGCACTTTTGGTTATGCACAGAAGCCTAACTTTAGGCATCTACAGATGTCTTCAGTACAAAATGGAAGCATTGAATTAATTTAGGTGCAAACTGAGTTTATGTGACTTCTGATAAGATCCAGCTTATGGACTTAAATCACTTAATACATGCCAAAGCAGCATTTAGGTACCTAGCAGCCAATTTATTCCATCTTGCTTGAGTCCATGACAAATCATTAAAGCAAAAGATGATGGGTCTTCCTCCTCAGTGTATTTTGTTATAAATCTCAAGGCTAAGATGCAGATATGTCATAAAAGCAGACACCTTGATGATTTCCCACTAGAGTGGAATAGAACAGAATCATTTGAAGATACTCATCTGGCCCCTAGGATCTGGTCCCTAGTTTACTCATCTGGATCTGTCCTTTTATGGCACTAGAATAAAAGCTATGATTTAGAAGTAAAAATATCTTGCCAAGTAATGCATTCATAGGCCTGAGTAACCTAGTCAAAATTCATTTTCATTCCTAATTCTGCCTGCTTTCTTACATCCCTCGTTCCCAATAAATGTCCGTCTTGTTGGTAACGAAGGGAATAATTTGCTTGATGATACTTACTGTAAAATATCTGCAAAGCTAGAGAGCAGGGGCTTGCTCTTGTACTCAATACCATGTTTGGCACACAAAGACTTCACTAAAGGAGCCACCTTCCAATAGTTGTGTCGAGGCATTGTGGGGAAAAGACTACAAGGCAAGAGACAGTTTTAGTAAGACCATTCTTCCCCCTTTTTTGCCAGGTACATTGTCTCTACTGTCCCCTAAGAATTTCCTCTTCTCCTGTGGGGCATTTTTACAGGTGTTTCTGGCGTGGCGCGGGGCACTTCAATTAGCAAGCCACACTAATTAAAAGCACCTGTGCGTCATGTGGATCAGCATCACTGCATGTCCCTGCACTGAGAAAGTGGCAGTGGGGGCACGCTGACCTAAAGCTCATTGGATGTGTTTTATTTCAAAGTGCGCTCCTGCCATTTTGTCAGTGTGGAGACGCACGGCAACACTGATACATGTGACCTGTGAGGCTGCTGGAGTGCATCAATTTCTGTGCCCCAGCAGACTCGATTAGTCGAGTCTGCTCTGACATGCTGGATTTCCCATGCATCAGAGCAGGCTCCCCACATGTGTAGGAGACCTTTGCAACTGTACTCACTGGTGCTCTATTTGGAAGTTCAAGTGTCCAGTTAACCAGTCATTGAACAGAGACTGGTCCACGTTGCATGTTGCCTGGAGCTGGGACAAGAAAATGGAGAGAGATAAATATGGCATTGTGGATGCTTAATTTCTAACCTATTTTGTATATGGGAGAATTTGTGCCATCCCCTCAACCCCATTTTCCTCTAAGCTGAGCATGGTTGCCTGCAGGTCATATACTCTCATGTAGTTTCCTCAGAACAGTAAGACTATCTATGAATGAGAATGGCATGCTTTAATATGGAATAGCTACTGTTTTAATCAGTTCTTCATTCAGCTATGGTAAGTTATATGGCCTTCTCAGCTAGACTGGCATAGATTTTCTCTCCCACTTTTCGATACAGGACTCCCCTCACACCTCCCATTGGTAAGAAATAGCCACAAGGTCAAAGAAGTTGGAAGGGAGGATAGTATAAGAGCCCCCTGTGCAGAGACAATGTCATGAGGTGTGACTATATCAGCCACACCTTGTTCTCACATCAAATTTTTCTGATTCTGATATTTACAATGCAGTCTCAATGTCAACTCCAGGCAGTAAAGGATTTATTCCCTACCTTCCTTATAATAGGTCAAAAACCTGCTCTCTAAATAGCATCCCCTACCCCCAGTGGATTCCCTGCTGGCCTTCATGCCCACTTTAAAATTTCAGTAAGTATAATTCACACCCAAAGCCTACAGCTCCTGTTAGGAGAGATTACGTTACCTGTGTAGAAAACCAGTCCATGTTGTTATCATAATCTATGTGCATTGCGATATGGTTCGACTGGGAAATCCAGGTAAACAAGGTACTCTCCAAGAGCCTGTAAAAACAAAGACAGAGCAGTCATTGTCTAGCTTGAGATCCACCAAGTCAAACTACTGCCAATAAAATGCACCCAAACAAGGCCTTAGAGGTATCTGGCCAATTTGCCTAAACCAATCATTCTTCAGTCAAACAGACCTGCAATCCCTAAACCAAATGATTGGTAGAATGCTTCTGTTTATCCTAGCAATTTTTCAGTAAAAGTCCCTCAGACCAACTAAAGTCAATGAGCATATAAAATTTCCTCCCCATGTTCCAAGCAATGAGTAGTCAGTGAGAAAGTTCCTATAAAAATGGGGGCAACATTTGAAAAACAACATTTTTACTTTTAACATGCAAGAAACAATGATGGGTATGGGTGGGAAAGGGTGGCCAGAGGCAACAGGGAGGGCTGGAATCAGGGAGGAAAAAGCAGTTTAATTGGTCATGTGTGAATATCAATAGGCAAGGAGAATGGTGGATGAGATAAGATTTACTTGAATAGCAGGAAGAAACCCAGGAGACCCTTAATTCCCAGCAATGGCTCAAAGGCAAAAAAGAGTCGGATATAATAGGCCAGAGTCCAAGCTAGCTCCTGGAGAGAGAAAGAAAAATAATATTAATCAGAAAAGCAGCTTATAACCCCACAGTGCTCCTCCATCATCCAACAATGGAAGAAGTAAAATCTCAAATTCTAGTATGTAATGTTCACTTGAATATTCGCTCCATCTCCCCATCAGCAAGGATTCAGTCTGAGAAATTTCCCTGACTGGCATGAATAGTTAATATACTGTAGCTTCCCTAGCTCACATAACAGAGCACAGCCTGAGAAATCTCATACCAGAAGGTTCATAAAAGTTCATTCCCCTGGTTTCCCTCCACTGCCCTGGGCTATCAGGATTCAGACGCAGAAATTCTTTGTATAACCCCACTATACACTTTGCACTATAGTTCTCTTACAACACCTCACAGCAATGTGAATTTAAGCTCTGAGAATACATTACTATCCATGTTCTGTAACTCTCATTTGCCATTATAAACTAGTAAGTGTCCTACCCTAAAAACCTGTGCAATTAGGAGAGTACCACAGCTTCCTGTTTGCAACCGTCTATGAGTAATGAATGCTGAGTATACTTACCCTCCAAATTTTGCGTTGGACTATGAAGTACAAAGAGTATCCTTGAAATAGTATAGCCACCAAAACTGGAAAAACTGGAAAAGGAAACAAAAAATATTGAAACATGAAATACAGTGTGTCATAGAATTTTGTTACACATTACCTTTAGGAAATACAAAATCTATAGAATACTTTACAATATTAAAGTTAAAATGTACTGTGAGCAGTTGCACATTAAGGGTGAATATAGCCTCTGACCTACACAGCTCTGCCTTACTGCTAAAGGGCTGGTGAGCAAGGATATGACTAAGAACCCAGGTGTCCTTGCTTCAACCCTCCTCTGAGTGGGGTAGGGAGGGAGAGGGGGGTTGCTGCCCCAGGAACATGCAGTCAGGAGCTGGAGAAACATGGGGACTGAGGCTTCCTCCTACAGGCTCCCCCCCCGCCATTCCTGTCCTGTGATGGGGTTTTGGGAGGGAGGGCTGTATTGTGGGAAACCCTCTTCCAAACCCTGTCAACCCAATCGTATCCCCTCTGGTCTTCCCTGGAGAGGATTGTGCCTTTCACTCTGAGCCAGGTGGCAGCCGCAGAAATGTTCAATTAACCACAGTTACTCAAAGTAAATTGAAATTTTCCCATGCTGCCTAGCCCCATTCCCCACAAGTGCTGCTGACTCTTCCCTAGTCTGGCAGCTTGATGGGAACTGTGGCTTCCCTCTGCACCTCCCCTGTTCTTATCCTGGGATGCGGGGAGGGAAGAGGGCTCTCGATAGGCTACAAGTCAAAGCACAGAGTGGCTGGGGCTTAACATGGCAGGAGCACAGAGCCATGGGGAGCATGGGAACTTGAATACCAGCAGCTTGTTAAAGCACCAGAAATTTTAAAAGTCTCACATGCCTAGGTGAGCCTGTGGCTCATTGACAGGCTCCCTGGAGGCAACGGGAAGCTACAAATCAGCCCAATATTGCCCTATGGCTAGAGTGCCTGCCTTTGTCAGGTTCAAGCCAGGGAGCTTTGAGAATGTGGCTATCCATACCACTTTATCTACCTGTGCATCCTCAAGTAATCAGAGATCATGGTGTGCTTTTCCTGCAACTGCTGCTTCATTTTAGGAGAAGAATCCAAATTCCTGCAGTCTACACTTTCAATTTGCTAAAGAACCCCCAATTTCCACAATTGTTTTGTTTCACCACAAAAAACACCCCCTACTTTTGCAAAACAAAGTAACAGAGCCCTTTAAGCAACCCTATGTCTCACCATGAAAACATTCTATGAAATAAAACAAGAGGAGCTATAGATACTTTAAATTCTAAAGGCAGACAAGGATTCACACACACGCATATATTATATATATATAATATATATATATATATATATATTGCAAGTTCAGCTATACTGGGCATGTCTACATATGCGCATTTACTGCGCAGTAACCAAAATTACTGCACAGTACAGGCACACATCTACACATGCACACCCATACTGCACAGTAAATATGGCAACTTATGCCAACTTGAGTGTAAATTTGATACCTGCATCATGCAGATATCAGATTTATGCCCAATTAGGTAATGTGCAGTAATACACATGTAGATGACTTACTGCGCAGTAACACAGTGTTTGTGGACTACCTTGGGACTATCTTTAGTCCCAAGGCAGTCCACACACAGCATTAATGCACATTAATGCCTGCACATGTAGACACCGGCCTATTTCCACTTACTGCGCAGTAACTGCGCAGTAAATTTAAGCTGGTGTAAATGCACATGTAGACACACTCACTGAATTGCTTTTAAAAGTTTAGCTTAGGCACAGACTTTGGCCTACAAGAAGGCCCTCTGTCCCTTGTGAGAATCTGATGTAAATGATTGTGCTGATGACTAGATTAAAGACCTTATGGGAGGACAGACATACTTACTAATAAAGAAGTATTTGTGCTGGTGATTGTAAGGCATATATTTCTTCTTCTGCATGCCAAGCTGTAAAAGAGAAGGTGCTATGAAAGGTCAGCTGAACTAGAGAAAAGTCCCCTCAGGCTCCTCCCATTTCTTCCTCCTTGAGTGCGTCTACACAAGATGCTACATTACTGTAGCAATGCACTACTGTGACACAGTATCAGAAGGCACAAACCGTAACACCACAGCTACATCACCAAAGCACTGCGCTCCCTCACTATAGCACATGACTATAGCAATGTAGCAGCTACTAATAACCATGCACCACTAGCACGTGCAGTAAAAACAGTGCCGTAAGGGCATGTGTAGATTTAAAAATTCCAAAATCCATGTTTTTCCATGTTTAAAAGGAAATGCCACTATGTATAGGTATCAGTTGAACACAATGTTTTATTGATATATTTACAACTTCAAAGAAGCCTGGAAGCCTACCAGTGCCTCAATCTTTATAATAAAATAAATTTGAAATACCTATATATTTTTGCATTTGATTTTTTTTTTATCGTGGAAAAAATCAGAGCTCTCCCTGCCCTCTTTGTTCACCAGGGTGTGGATCCAGCTATGGCTGTCCCCCACTGTTTTGTGGTGCTGAGCAACCCTGATATGCCAGCGTCCTGCCCCTGCCCATGCCGTTGCCCCTCACTACCAAGACAGTTCCCCTACCTCCCTCAGCTCTGCTGTTCCCCTCACTTCTGAGCCATAGCCCCCTGGCCCTGCCAGTGCCTCTCACTCCCAACCCACATCCCCCCACCCCCCAGCCCTGTTGGTGCCCCTCGCTCCTGACCCACTGCCCCCAACCCCAAGCCCCAGATTCAGGGTCTAAAATCTAGTTTAGCTCCCTGAGCTAATAACCCAGCTACTCACTGGGCTATTGAGCTAAAAACTGAAAGGACTCTTTTCACTTCCATCGGGCATGTGTACAGGGTGATCCTGTTCTGCCACAGATGGAAAAAGGATCCCAACTTTGTGCAACTGCAAAAAATAACTGTTGCATTGCTACATAAGGTGACATAAGATTAGGCCACAAGTGAACTGAAGTAATCAAAACTAGAGTCCACAAATATGAGGATTACTTTGGACCACTTGTTCTCAACATTTCTAGATTTGAGGTACCCCACTGTAACTTTATAGAATTTAGCAGCACCTTAATTTAAAAACAAATATACTGTATTTACTTAAATAAAATACAAGGCTCCCCCCTGCTATCCAAGTAGCATGAAGGGAAAAAAATCTTCTCATCTTACACTCACATACTATGAAATCTTATTAAATGCTTTGTTTACGATGAAGCTACTGACAAAAGCAGCACATGCTCAGGAATGGAAATCAACTCTGGATGTGATTAAATACAACCAACACTGATCACAACTATAAAACACGTAACCCATATTGGGCAAACATACTGATGAGAAACTTTTTTTTTTAAGGATTTTTTTTTTTGTGTTCCAAGCCAAATCAGCCAAATCAATTCCATATCTGTGAGTCATTCAAGAACTATATGTGGCCCTACCGCCAGCAAACATCCTTGACCCCCACCTCAGGCTTCAGATGCTTCAAAATTATTTGGCAGGCATCCTATGTGCAAGCCCACGCCCAGAGGCTTAGGGTTCAGATGCTCCAGAGTTTCGCTTCCCCTCTGTCATATGGCCACAGGAACAAGCACAGGCTACGATACTGTCACTGTGCAAACTAATGAGAACCTACCAACAGAATAGATCAGTGTAGCCTCTTTAATTAAAATACATGGCACTGCCCATTGAGCACAGTTTCCCTCATCACTGACTCTTTTGAAGTCATGGTGCGACACTATATTACATACATTTTGACTTTCTCTTAACCCACACATCTGAGGTCAGCTAGTTCCAATTATTCCTGTTTTTTCACCAGCCTTAAATATCTAGCAAACATCACCAAGCAGGACCCCAAACTGTCCACCCAGAATCCCCTTGTCAGAGTCTCTCTCAGCCTGTCACATGTTATTAGTATGTCCCCACCAGAGCCATCCCTTGGGTAGGGTGAATCGGGGTGACCGCCCTGGGCCCTGTGTTTTGGTGGGCCCTGCAGAGCCAAGCAGAGCAGCCATGGTACCTCCTACAGGGCCCACCTAGAGCTGGTGGCTCAGCCCCGCACCGCAAAATTATCATCCGGTCACTCACCAACCATCTATCCCCCAACCCCGCCGCGCGCTGCTGACTTCACATCTGCTGAAGAGCAGCTTGTCCAGGGTACATGGGATCTGTTTGGCCTCGGGCACCAAATTTTATTGCTCCCGGGCCCCGCACATGGATCTGTTGGGGATATCTAGAGTACACACATGTACCGAGCAGTGCTGAGCTGTGGGGTCACCATGAACTCAGCCCAGTGACCTATATGATAGACTTTTGGCTTTGAACTGATATCATGCAAAGTTTGTTGTATTCTTGTGTGCTAAGATGAAGTGTAGTTTCTGCACTGTTCTGATACCCGAGCTTGTGGACTGGACTCCCAGTGAGAGCCTCATAGTTAGCTTCCCACTGGCCAGCTCCCACTAGGAGGATCTTGGCTACACACTAACTTGAAGGGAATGGGTCATATGGTGAACCCCAAGGCTCTGGGCTTGGACCTGCATGTAGGATGCCTGCCAAAGGATTTAGAGGGATCTGAAGCCCCACGCTGAAAAGTCAGGGCAGGAGAATACTTCCTGGTAGTAGGGCCACATAAGGCTTTTGAATGATTCAAAGGATTCAGAACTGATCTAGCTAATTTGACCTGGTACACAAACATTTTGCCAAAATATATTTTTTTAAAAAGTTTGTTCTATGGGCCCAAACACCTTGCTTTGACCAGTTCATCTTCTGCTTCAGGTATGCCCTGTGGAAAGCCAGAAACCTGTTCACAAGTAGGCACTCAAACCCCACAGTAGAGGACTATATTAAAATAGGGCTGAGTAAAATGTACTGGTACTACAGTAAAATGGAAGAGGAAAATGGGAAAGACATGGTGGACCTTATATGGTGGAGTCATAGACTTTTCAGAGGCAAGCCCCCCAAACAGAATGAGGACAATGGTGAGGACAGCGAGGTCAATAAGGACAAATATAACAACGTGGCAGAATGCCATCCCTGTCTCTCCCCAAACTCTGCTATCAGGTGGATGCCTAATCTGACAATTTGGTTGCCATGGTCACTGAAGAGGGCAGACACCTCTGGTCTCATTGGCGTCAGGTAACCCTGAGTTGTAACCTGAGCTGGATAAATTCCAGAGGGAGAGGAAAACCTGCTCCCTCTGCCTACGTGACTGGCCTCACACACTTGGGTTGAGGCTTAAACTCCCTATTGTTCTAAGCAATGCCATCATGACTGGGAGGGGGCTAGAGACCTTGCCAGTCTGCCTGGCAACCAGTGATGCATTTCAAATTGGCTGCTTGGCAGCCAACAGTTGCTGGCCTCCGTTGGACCAGGTAAATGAGGTCAAAAGGTCTATATAAGTTAAGGACTGCCCAGGAGGCGGGGCAGCAGCCATGATGAGAACTCTCAGAGAAGCTGGATCATCTGAAACACTCTCTCTCTTGAAGCTCATGGTCAATGAACTGCCTGCCTCCAGAGGAAATCTCCTCCTGCCTCTGGATGATACTTGTGAGTAAGATACTTGAGATCTAACTAGATATATAGCTTGCAGTAACACAGATGCGGAATCAAAGGCTAACATGCCACTGTTTGCTTTAACGGATTTCTCTGATAGTGTTCTACTCTGTACCCTATTCCAAACCTACTCCTTGTAACCAATAAAGTTCTCCTTTGTACCTAGTGTGGGAGACTCATTGGGAGAGGGTCTAGATTATGCCTTGGGGTCCCCTTGGTTCAGCTGACTAAGGGAGACCATTATCACGTATGTGTTCCTAACACACCACCTGAACTCCCCACACATAGCTCCAGGTCACCACTTGGTACTGGGAACGAGCGAGCCAATTTCTACCCTTTTTTTTTCCAAGGGTAATCCCCCACTAAACTCAAGCCCTGGAGCCATAATGGATAGAGGCCGGTGATGCCCAAGTGCAGGATGTGGCACCAGGTCTTTCTGGCTGGTAGGGATAAGATACCAGGCTGCACACACAACACAACTGGGGCACTGAGGTTGTCCGAGGCACAAAAGGGGTAGGCAACACCCCTATGCATTGTCCACGGCCATAGGCCAGGGAAGAGAAAGGGAAAGTAGGTTATATTGGGGGCTGTGGGGAGGAGAGATCAACCCTGCAGATGCAGGAAGAGGCAGGTACTGAACTCAGAGCTTGGCAATCTCTGACTCACCCAGGTCTAACTGCCACAGTGGCCCTGATAGAGCTGATGCAGAGCCAGTCAGCTATGTGCTTCAGGGCCTGGGCCAGGCTGGGCCAGGCTGGCCTGGGCAGGGCTGGGCAGCACTTTCATGAAGCTCTGGGCAGCAGTGGCCACCTCAGCACAAGGCAGAGTGAGAGAGGAATCCATGCTGCCTTTCTGCTGCATGGCACAAGATACCCATAAACTCATTCCTGGGCCACAGAGAGGCAAGCACAGACTAAGATCACCCGAAAAAGGGCACTCCACAGCAACCTTGAAAGGATCTTGCAGCACCTCAAGGTGCCAGAGCACTCTAGTTAAGAATAATTGTTTTGGACATATTAGAGCATGATCGGACTAGTTAAACACTCAGCCAGAAATAGATCCTGAACAGACAACTCAGTTACACTGGTGTAACGTACATTGGTTTTATACAGTGATATAATTCACACCAGGATCTAGAGAAGACAGACATGCAGTTATTCCAGAGGAATTTAGACACCCATTACAGGAATACAATGGTAGAGTTTTACCCCTACGCTTTTCAGGATAATTGTACACAGAATGAAGTTATCCTGGTGTAGGGGTTCGCATCATTTGTCCATCTTTTTTTTGCTGATGTAAGGATGATTACACTGATATAACTCTGTTGCCTGTTAAGGCTCATAGGGATGAAGAAGGGCATTTTAGTGTACAGTAATTTACATAGCTTGAAGTGATGAGGAAACCTTAAGATAACCAGAATGTAGACTATCTTGGCAATTGGAAGAAGTATGTTTTTAAAGGAATGTGGTATAATGGATCAGGAGAATTCATCTAAGCACTTCCAACTGTCCACCACTATTTTGCTTTGGTTGTTTCAGCGAATTATTCTTCAGCTCAGTGGTGACAGCTTTCCAGGCACTGAAAGTTCTGTTAGTATCTGACATCAGTTTTGTAACCTAGGTCAGGATTTTGATAGCTTCCAAACTCTTTTTTGACCAGCTAACAAAACAAAACAAAAAAAAGTAAAGAAAAAAAAGCTCTTTTCTGCTTCATCCCTCTTCAGCTGTTTCTTTGGTGTAAGCGCTGTCATGATACACTCTATAGACCAGTGGAGGGGTAAACCTTTTTGACAGACATGCCACAAATTAGCCCCAGAACCTCCCCAAGTGCCACTTGAACCCTGTTCTCTTACTCAATCTTCAGCTCAGCTTTTTATCTGACCCAGCCTCTACTCTCCTTTCTGCTTTCTGCCCTGTGCTCCATGCCTGATCTGATGCTCTGCATTCTGCTCCCTGCCATATCTGCCATTGTGTTGCTTGTCCCCTCCCCAAAATGCCATGTGTCACACACAGAGGTTGCCTGTGCCACTTATCTGTGCCACAGGTTAGCCACCCCTGCCATAGATGATACCTAGGGTGGCATTTCTGTACCCTGTGCCTCTCTTACTTTTTTTTAGCATAAACTAGGGAAACTTGAGGCAGCAGTTCTGTGTCCAATCCTTCTCCTTTCACAGCTCTGAGTATTAGTTTGTTTCCAGTCCTACAGCTCCATGATTTCTGATCCTTTTAGCATTATCTTTTTTCCAGTAGCCTAAACAATTCCTAGCCAATCCCTACTATCGCCACTCACCTCCACCGAGAGTTTCTTCCCCAAAGCAAATACTAAGGGATGCATAGAAATATCAGGGTCTTTATTGAAGCAGTTGGGCTTGGCATGGTGCTGAGAATGATGGAGAGTCCACCAGGATGCTGAAAGCCCCTGCAAGAAAAGAGGAGCCAACAAGACTCAAGACAACACTGCCAAATATCGATCTCTTCATTTGCAAGTTATTGAACCCTCTCCTTCCCAGTGCCTCACCATGTTCCAAGGACATCCTAATGCTATCTGAAGGGCCAGGGGCCCTCCTAATTGCTGAGTTCAAAGATGAACACACTCATACCAGGCACTTACCTTCAAATGGCACATCACAAATTCATGAACCAAATGATTCCATTTGGTATTGCTGAAAACAGAAAGGTGTCCCAAATCATGCTGCAGAAAACCAGCTTGGGACTAGAAAAGAAAAGAGATTACTTATTTAAGGGTGCATCTACATGTGACTCTATGTCACCGTAGCAACACGCTACAGCGATGTAGTGTCAGCAGGCAAAAATTGTGATGCAGCTTTGTTGCCATAGCAACATACTCCCTTGTTATAACAGGTTGCTATAGTGACATAGCATCTAAAAATAACTGCAGCACTGGCACAGTGCAGTACAAACTGTTACTGTGCCATCATTTATCACTTCCAAGAGGAAGTACTAAATGTCAGTGCCATGACCATGGTGCCATAGGGACATACATAGACATGCCCTAATAGGGCCAGGTTTTAGGTCATGTCAATGCCAGGATCAGAGAAATACTGTATCCACTGCATAAACTTCCATCCTAGGCCATTCACTCAAACTAAGCGATCAGTTCACTCAAAACTGTTGTTCAGTTCACTCAAAACTCTGCTAGTTCCAGGGACATGTTCATTTTCCTTGTGCAAAGTTTTAGATAAATTCTATTTCCTCGTACTGTCCAGTTGATTCAATCAGGTAAGACTGCTTCTCACTGGTAGGAAGGAACTTTCTGCATCCTCAATATGCTCAAGATATACAGTATTTCTCTGTAAACAATGCTTCATACCAGCTGAGAACCCATATTCTTAACTCTAGTAGACTTCCTGCTTTCAGCGCATTCAATCTCAAATTCATTAAAAACAAAACAAACAAAAAACTTACCTTGCTAATATTAGAAACACATTTTAATTTGTACATAACCAGCTAATTTTTTTGGAGGAGAAAAGTGGTTTAAAGGAAATTTAAGGAACTAAGAACTGGGGCTGAACACCATAAAACAGATTCAGTTCTTTAAAGGAGTTCTACTGAAGCATGAATAAGTTCCACTTCTCCTTTGAAACTAAGCCTGCTGCCATCTCCTTTGAACACAGTGGGTGCGTCTACATGAGACACTTAATGCTCATTGGACTAATTTTTTTGCACATTAGCATGACTGACAAAAACCATACTAATGCACTAATGCACAATAGATTAGCCCAATGAGCATTAAGCATCACAAAAAAAGCACTCATTTGCAGTAATGTGCAGTAGGACTGATTGCAGCACATTAAGTTAGTACCTGTTGTTACAGGTACTAAACTTAATGTACCATGATTACAGCACATTAATGAACATGTAGACATGCCCAGTAATTCTAAAAAGAACCAAGAAGACATGAAGAATATATATGCCTTTCACTGCTTTTGTGTCCTCAGCTCCAAGACACTGCATGCTTTCATGGGAAAGAAGAAGGTTCAGTTCCAAAGATCTGTCCTAACATTTAAAAGGTTAATGATCCACAGCAATGAGTTTATATGGGAAGAAGGTGGTAATCTAGACGACTGTGGGCATGTCTACATGAGGCACTTAATGCCCATTGGACTAATTCTATTGTGCATTAGCGCAACTGGCAAAAAGCATTCATCTGTGCTAATGCACAATAGAATTAGTTCAATGGGCATGGTCACATAAAAGGCATTCATCTGCATTAATATGCAGTAGCACCAATTATGGCTCATTAAGTTAGTACTTGTTATTACAGGTACTTACCTGTAGATATGCCCTATGGGTGCTTCGACACATATGCTTTACTGTGGCATTGCCTAATTAGTCCCACAGCAAAGCATCGCTGGGCGCGTCTATACGTTCATTAATGCACCATGATTATGGTGCATTAAGTTTAGTACCTATAATAACAGGTACTAACTTAAAGCGCCGTGGCACTACTGCACATTAGCACAAACGAATGCTTTTTTATTACACTTAATGCTCATGGGACTATTCTATTGCGCATTAGCACGGTTTTTGCCAGCTGTGCCAACATGCGGTAGAATTAGTCCAATTAATCATCTCATGTAGATGTGCCCATTGTTTATATGTGCAACAGTATTAGGGTGCAGTAAATTAAATAAGTCTACTGTAAGATAGTTCTATTGGGGATAGTACTCTCTTGTGGCAGAGTAATTAAGTGCAATAAAACAAACGTATAGATGGTGACAGGGGCTGGCTAGGGCACAGGTGTGCTAAAGTGCAAGGGCTGCCCGCTGCATGCCTCCACATTTTTTATCACTCTTGTGCCCCAGCCAGCCCCTCCGCTGCCTAGTGCAGCTACCCGGATCCCAGGGCTGACCCCCCACAAGCCTGCTACCAGCCTGGCTCAAACTGCTGCTGCTCCAGGCACACATGTAGACGCTGTGCCCAGGAGCAGCTGACTCTGGCTCGAACTGCTCCAGAGTTTATGATGTCATGTTGATTTCATGGGTAGATGAACCCTATAGCAGGGAAATGTGTGCTGCCAGTTTCAGTTCTACTTCATTCACTTACCTGAGCAATCGTCATCAGTAGTGCAGAAATGAGGAAAGGCACTAAAGATGTTCCAAAATACCAGAGAACAAACCAGGAAGCAACATCCAACAGGAGAATGTGCAGGAAAAGCAGGAAAAAGAAGAGATGATTTGTCTTGAGGAGCCCCATCCTCTCAATGGTGGCACGCAACTCATGGAAGTCTTTTACCAGCAATTTCTGAGAGGACAACCAACATTTAATCACTCTCTGTTCTGGGGGACAACACAAAAGTCTTAAGAAACAGAGGGCCTGTCCTGCAGAGGGGTCAGGATGCCAGTGAAGAACACCTGACAAACAGGCTTTGTTCCTGCTTACAGGAGACATTGTGACACCAAGAGGGTTAAGTAGCTATAGGTTCTGCTGTTCCTGGTGAGACTTTATAATACTGGGGAGATGGGGAAATCTCATGACTGATGGGATCCCATCTGTCATTGTTGTGTGGGAATTACTGTAGGGAATGTGTCAGAAGTAGTGAGAATTATAACAGACTGGATGACTGTACTCTTTGTCCTGGTATGGATCAAGACACCAGGAGATTCCCACAGCTCATGGTTATTGATTCTCCCTCCTCCAGGGGCTGGGATCCAAGATGCAACACAGTGTACAGGGGTGCAAGGTTCTGACTGAATTTAAATCAATTTGGCCTTGTATTTTTGCATAATAATTTTCCAATACCAGACTCACATTTTTTTTAGGCTCAAAACTTGGTTGATCTGGTGCCAGCTCCCCAATCAGTAGCGAGCTCATGTACTTTCTCACCAGCTCCTTATTGGTGTGAAAAGCTATAAAGGGTTCCTGATAAAATACATGTAAATGGAATAAGAAAAGTCCCATAATATACCAAGCTAACATCTCTGTACCTTGATATAGGAGAACTGCGTGTCTCAACACAGTGGTAAACAACTCTAGATTAGAATATAGTACAATACTGTAAATTACCTATTCTGCTATGCATCTGAAATGAACAGATTAAAAACCTCATAAAAAAGCTTTAAGAAGTTACATTAAATGACACGATTGTAAAAAATGACATACAGCTATAACATTTAACTGTAAATACATATTTTCATATAATACTCAATTCATTAAAAACATTCCATGACATTAGATTAATTTGAAGGATAAAAAAAGAATTCAGAGAGAGATGTCAAAGCTGTTCTCATTTCTTAAGTTTCAAAGCATTAAAAAGATACTTTCAGGATGACTGGTGTTAACAGTAGAAGCATGCTGGTTAAACACAGTTCAGTGCTAGAGATCCTGGATCCTTATAAAACAGCTGAAACAGCTGAAGGGATTCATTGGTACTGGGTAATGGAGGTGGCTGTAGGGGACATTCATCTCCCAACTGCTGGGGTTTGTGCTCAGGGTACAAATTCAGCCATATACATCTCTACATTGCACAGCATCTTATTATGAGTAAGGGTAACTGATTCAAGTACTAAATAATGAAATAGGATTTTTTTAGAACCACTTCTAGCCTGTCCTTGGCACTTAAACCACTGTTGTTTAAGAAAACCCCTTTCAGTTCAGTTCACTTTCACCCATGGAATTCTTTTGCCAGTGTTGCTGTTGTAACATAGCAGGCTTTATTTAGAGAGGGTGAAGTATTCCTTTCAAACTTGTAAATGGACTATGAGCAGAATCCTTCACCAAAGAGTACATAATCATTTTGTGACTCATAGCTCTTCTTCCTCAGTTCTATGCTTTCCAAAATATTTATTAAAGAGCTTCCTTTAAATACCAGATTTACTCAAACTGGACGCAAGATTATTACCTCTGCCCAACAGCAGTAGTCTTATTTCAGAATTAAAGAGTTTCCTTTAAATACCAGATTTACTCAAACTGGACGCAGGATTATTACCTCTGCTGAATAGCAGTAGTCTTATTTCAGAATAACTGTGCTATTAAGCAAGTGCATTCAGAACCAGCAATCACAGGTTAGGAAGAGAGATATCTTTTGCTTCTGTGGGTGAAAACAAATATTATCTTTCAGGGACTTTATCTGGAAAGATAAAGTGATGATTGTAACCATGGGTAGAATAGTTTATTTTTTTCCTGATTCTT